GGTATCGGTGGAGGGAGTTGGGCCTCTGATATCGATACTGCCGTTGGAGCAGGAGGCACTTTAGGGGCATCACCCAGTGCAGGCACCGCTTCCTTCCCCTTCTTCGCCGCCTTAAGGGACTTTGAAGTGCCCTTCCTCGCGGACTTGTGATCCTTACTTGCCTTGGCCTTCTTTTTGATTGGCATGGAAGCAGAAGATTGCGTCTTCGATGCTGGGACCTTCGGTGTCGGGCGGTCTGCATCGGAGGCAGGTCTCAATGCCGGAGCTGTCGATATTGATGGTCTTTCCTCCATCGCTGAGGTAGGAGTAAGAGCCGATTCAAGCAGCGCTACTTTAAGGCGCGCAGCTCAGTTTTTCCATGTTTGATTAGAAAAACGAGCACAGTGACGACAGGACTCTGGCCGGTGAGACTCTCCGAGACAAAAAATGCACAGGGTATGACGGTCAGGAGGAGCAAGTTTGCTGCCACAACCCTTGCACCTATTGAAAAACCCCCACTTCTTCTCCATAAAAAAAGCGAAGAAGAGGGGACGTTTGAGGGGGGGGGAATAGCCCGAAGGCCTGAGGTAATCGGTAGACTCCCCCTCAACAGAAATAAATGTTTTGTTTTTTTCGAAGAACAAACAAATAAAAAGAGAAAAGACAGGAAAATTAAAATAAGGAAATAATTCCTAAGAGTTGAGGAGAATAGCCAAAAGCGAACCGATCTGACCGATGAAAAATAGGTCTACTTAACGCGGCGGTAAGAAAGGAACTGGCAGGATGTCCGCGCCCACCCCTCTAGGCATGCACGGTGGGGTTCCTGCGCATGCCCGAGGGACTGGGCGCCAAAATCCGTTAAAAGAGCTTGCTACAGCACCGATCGATCCAGCGCGTGCGCACTAGATCCCATGGGTGTGAAGCACAGAGACCACATTGAAGATTAAGGTCTTTTAACCAGCGACAATCATATCAGCAACACAACAGTAGGAAGAAGCAAGACTACATCTTGCAGAACCTCTCTAAGCACACAGCCATCAGGGCATGCTACAGAAGGATATGTCATGGGGCATTTGGAAACTCCCACTGGTCCTGGTGACACAACCAGTCACGTATATCAGAACTGAAACCAGTGTAGAGAAAACCCAAACCCTGCGAGGGCAGCACAAATTTAGCACAGGTCCCAGGTTTTGACCTTGGATGTGGTCACCTACCAGAGTGGACTGGAAGAGCCCCCGCACACACACATAACCACAGCTGACAGTGCAGTCCAGAATCAAAGAATTGGGACAGATAATCTAATTGCCTGCCTCAGGCTGCCACATACTTTGCTTAGCGACTTTCTACCCAGTCAACCCGCACCTGTTCAATTTCTCAACACTTTATCAGTGTTAAAGCAGCAGATCAGCTCAAAATACAATACAAAGGTTTACTAAAATTAATATTGAAAAAGAAAATTAACAATTTACTTCCCAAATAAAAACTTAACATAAACCCCCATAACATTTATTACAATTTATTACAGAGAAAAATGTAAAGATATGTAATCATCCTAATAAGAACAGTATACAATTGTCAGCAATCGATTTAAATGGCATCTGTGAATCTGGTTTATCTACATAATCATATAGACTGGAACAAAACTCCCGGTAAATGCCTTACAGCTACCTAAATTTACTTTGATGGGTCAGTTTTTCCATAAATTTTATATAGTCACACATATATCCCAAACTAAAACTAGCTAACAAACTAAAACTAACTACCACACCTCAGAAGGGGTGGGATTAGTACCCCAGTTATTCTCCAGGACAACCTTTGCTATCATCAACAAATAAATAGCAAGACCTCTTACACCTGCAGGCGTGAACTTTTTAACATTATTTAACAAAAGCACCACTGAATCTGGTGTGATCCACAATTTGAATCTTTTTGGAACTCCTAGGTGTCTTGTATTTTTTTCAGAGCTCCACCAGAAATGGAAAAAAGTACCTGTCTGACTCCACCTCGAGATTTGTAGGGGGGGCTTGATACTGTGAAGGAACCCCCCCCCCCGAGGATTCCAATTATGCTTTTAAAGAACTTTCTGCATCTTAGGTAGAATTTTCTGGTAGACTTGCAAACAATCTTGTTCAGCTGGTAAATAGTTAAGCTCTAGAACTCTGACAAACTTACACCTGTGACTTAGCACCTAGCCTCTCCAACAAGATCTCATGGCTCCTTATCCACTGAATCTGTGCCATGGAAACCCAGTGCATTTCATGGTCTTCTGCTTTATGTTAAACACATTCAATTTAGGCACAATACAGGCTAGCCTCCTATGGACTGCTCATCCACATCAACAGAGAGCAATTTAGCTCACACTCAATACTCTTCTGAAGCTGCACATTGCAGGGAAAGATCAGAATTGTGGGCATTGGCCAAGCTGTTTTTCAAGGAAGCTTTTGTACTATTGCTGATTTTCTTATGCCATGGTTTCCTCAGATCAGTCTGAAAACCAGTGTCCGAAGGCAAGCACAGAAGAGGATTGTTTTCTTTTTGCTATTATTCATAAACAATGAGCAAATATCTATTTTTACAAAGTGGATCAGATTTTTTCATTCCACATTACTACTGTCTAGAACAAATATATTTGAAGCACAAGCATTCACACTCACAGGGCTGGCCCCAGGTATTTTTGCACACTAGGTGAGGACACCTTCTGGTGCACCCCCGTATGCCCACCCATTTCTGGTGCCCCCCTTCTTGCGCCCCCGCAGCCACCTGGGTCCATCCCTCCCAGCAGCCCCGCTTGGGCACCTCTTTAAGAGATCAGCCCCGAGAAGACCTGCCCACAAAGTCACTGCCAGAGAGGTCACCGCCGGGGACCCACCTGCAAGGGACACCTACCCTGGTCCCAGCGCCTCCCCCCGCCCAGGCTCATGAGCTCTCCAGCCCTGCTGGCAACCACCTGCTGGCCACAGCGCCTCACCAGCCACCCAGCGGGTCCCTGAAGCCTGGCCACTGCCACTGCGCAGGAGAGAAGCCTCCGCCGCCACCTCTTCTTCCAGGCCCCACCTCCGGGCCGGCCTCTGAGCATACCATGCAGCTCGGCTGGGGCATGGAGAGGCAGGGCCAGGGCACGGAGAGGCAGTGCCGGAGGGGAACAGAGGCTGCCCAGGGCATGGGGGGAGGCGCGGGAGCGGTTAAAAGCTGAGCAGAAACTTTGCTGCCACCACCTGCCTTTCACTCCCCCGTCCCCCCGGCTTCTCCTCACCCTCGGGATGGAAGCAGAGGCCGGCCAGCATGGCAAGGGATCCCGGGCTACAGCTGCCTGCAGAAAAGGTTTCCCTTGCTCGAAAGCCAGCTCGTTCCAGCCCGTTGTCCCTGCCAGACAGCCAGGATTTGCGCCCCCTGCCTGGCTGCCGCTGCCTCCCACAAAGGCCAGCCCAGGGCAGCGTGGAGAAGCCTGGACTGCTGCCCAGCCGGGGCTGAGGACTCCGCCAGCCACCTCTCTGCCGCAATGCCGAGCCCACACGCCTTCCCGTGGAGGGAGGGAGGGAGGAAGCACACTGGGGCTGCCCGCCTGGGGGACCACCGGTGCTCCCGGCTCCAGCAGCAGCGCCAGAGTTGAGAGCAGGGCTTTTGGTGCGGAGGGGGGAGAAAGAGGCGGCGGCTGGGGTTGGGGCGACGCAGCACGCAGGGCTTTTGGCAGGAGGCTTTTGGTGTGGGGGGGTGCAGTTTGGCGCCCTAAGGGCCGGCCGGCCCGCCCTAGGTGAACGCCTAGTTCGCCTAGTGAGTGAGCCGGCCCTGCACACTCAAGTAGCTTAACAATGGAATTGTGCTTAATGTGGGCAGCCTGAGGACAGGGTGGTTTAGCAAAGGGCACGATGTACCTGGTAAGGTTTTCCTCAGTGGGGTTTAGCCATTGGCTCCATAACTTCCTGGGCTGGCTGTAACTAAGGCTAGCTGATTAGAGTGAGAACTCCCCTCCTCAGGCTATGGAAGGGCTCCAAGAAACAGCTCAAATGGTTTATGGGCCTGGTGTGTGTGCACTGAATAAACAGTCAGTCCAATAAGACCAAACCATATTGTCTATGGTCATAAGCCACTCCTTCTTCCTTGCTGTCAGTAACATATGCCTAGTTCCTGCCTTATGCCCATAACTGGAAGCTGTTAATGCAATAAATTTGTAATCTGTTTGATATCCTGGCTCTTATTCTTGATATCTTTATCTCTTATTCCCCCCCCCCCCACTCTCAGAGTCCCTTGCACACACTGAAAAATATAAATATTTATGTTAGTGAAAAACACCTTCCGTGGGCAGAGGGGCATCTTTATATGCAATTCTATGTCTTTACCAGCTCAAGCTGAAGAGAAAAAGTAGACTAACATGCAATATGATGTCTGATGAAGTTCTCCAATATTTCCACTTGGTATCTTAATTAATAAAACTCTTATTGCGTCAGAAGAAAAGTTCAATCCTTTACATTGTAATTTCGAATTCTGGTTGTCTGCTGAGAGGTATGAAGCTTTCGTGGTTGGTTATATGATGACTTGTTTGGTTTTAGTTTTGGCTGGACATTAAACTTATTTCCAGTGACAGTCAAGGTGGCAGCTGGTGTTCTCTCTAAATACATGCTGGCCTTTCCTTCAGGGTCTTCAGGTTTTTCAGCTCCATGGAGACCTTGGTATTCCCCTGCAATCAGAGGGAAGAAAATATTCACTCCCAAAGTACTGAAATACTGCTAAAGATAAATCTGCAGTCTCTTAGCACAATCTGTGATCTGACAGCACAGAAATAATCTTTACCCCCCATATTTTTAAAGGGAACTAACAGGTGCAGAGGAACACCAATTTCTGTCAAGTCCTGCAACTTACTGAATAACAAACCCTTTATTAAGGGCACTCACTTTGGGATTTGTCACTTCATTGTAAAAGAAGCAGTGAATTGCTTAGCATTATGCACTAAAATGATCACAACACCTGCAAGCAAATTCTAGTTCCAGTCTCTTTTTTGCCTTGAACTCACTAGTTCATAAATGACCTTTGGAAGCTTTGGTTTCTCAACCCAGGAACCCCATCTGATGCCGATAATCCTAGCTTACAAGGTTGGTGTAAAATTATTTTAACAGATTGTGTAGAGCTGTGAATATGACATACACACTAAAGCCTGTATTATTCTTCATACAAACCACTCCCAAAGTATTATTTAGTTGCTTACAACATCTGCTTGGGAATCACTTTTTTCGTATACATCACATGAACACATGAAGCTGCCTCATAATTAATCAGACCATTGGTTGGTCCATCAAGGTCAGTATTGTCTACTTAGATGGGCAGTGGCTCTCTAGGGTCCCAGGTAGAGGTCTTTAACATCACCCAGTACCTGGTCTTTTCAATGAGAGATGCCAGGGACTGAAACTGGGACCTTCTGCATGCCAAGCATGATGCTCTACCATTGAACCACATTCCCTCCCCATCTACTTAAGCTTTAATTATATGGTAGAAAACAAACAAGTCCCTGAAATTCATTTTGGTTAATTTATTCACACTTCAGAAAGTTGTTTCATATTAAGCTTGAAGGCTTAATGTGCAATATTTTAAAAGAGAGCAGAAATTTTCTGAACCTTCACTGACCACTGGTTTTGAATGGATGGACATTTTGATTCTATACACTGCACTTCCAAAAAAGATAAAACCTGTGTGACAAAGTAACTCAGTGCATCTGTGACCGCTGTTTCCATAATCAAAATCACCCACTCCTACATGCAATGGCTTTGATTTGACTCCAAGGATCATCAAGTACAGAAAATCAAATTGGACTAAAATTAATATTTATAAAACACTTGGAAAATGAAAAGCTTTGCATAACGTAGATCAAAAATTGCAGTACCCACTGTGCCTGGAGCCAGAAGAGAGTTTATATCTCTCTCTTGGTTAATATTCTACCCAGTCCTCTCAATTGTCTGGCTCTTTACCCACATAATGGAAAAAGTGTTGAAATTTTGTCTCATGGGCAAGAGCAAAAGATAACATATGACCCAATAAGAGCATGATTTCAGACTAGTCTACTGGGTTATAATAAAAGTGGCTCTTCAGTTTTCAACATCCAAATTTAAATATTACAGCAGAACAGTGATTGCGGTTTTGACTATGCCCTATTTTTACGCCCTTTAGCACTTTTTAATGTGCATCTGTAACTCCCCAAGGAACAGGATTTCTGCCTTAGTCTTCTATTGAACCCCAGGCTGCTTATAAAACCTGCTGTTATCCCATAATATTCCAATTTTCCTCCAATTTCTGCAAGTGAGACTTTGTAAGGCATCCTAGATAAACTGAAAATTTCCTGTCCTAAAATTTAATTTATGTGGATTCAGGGCAGACCACCTTCTAGAATGATGACATCACCTCCGGGTGATGTCATCATTCCAGCACATTGGGCACGATGGGGCTCTTCAGGGGTGGGCCCCTCACCCACATCAGGAGGATGGCAACCCTATCGAGGTGCTTTATAAATAATATTGGTGATTATGATGCCCCCTCCCATTCCAACATGACTGTGATCCAGAGATCCACATGGTGAGATTCAGAGTGAGTCTACTATTATTGGTGAAGCCCAGATATGTGAATGCTATTATTGGGAAGCCCAGACATATACACAAATGCTCTGCAAATAGGGGGAGTGTGACCCTGTTAGTTCTGCTGGATGGCCTTTAGTACTGTTGACCATAGCATCCTACTGGGCCAACTCTCAGTGCTGGGATTAACAGACACCATGTTAAGGTGGTTTGAGTCCTACCTGGGAGATTGGTTCCAGAAAGTGATGCTAGGGATTCCTGCTCTGCTCCATAGCTGTTGGCCTATGGAGTTCTGCAGGGTTTGATCTTATTCCCCATGCTGTTTAACATCTACATGAGGCCACCGGGAGAGGTCATCAGGAGGCCTGAGCTGCAGTATCACTGATACCTTCCTTTTCCTTTACCTTCCTTTTCTGACTAATCCCAAGGAAGCTGCTGATGCTTTAAACCAGTGCTTGGAGTCAGAAATGGGCTGGCTGAGGGTGAACAAGTTGAAACTTAATCATGACAAGGCAGAGATGCTCTGGGTTACCAGGAAGGTAAGACCAGGGATTTGAGAGCTTCCCTGTTTTGGAGAGGGTTAAACTCCCTTTGAAAAGTCAGGTTTGCAGCTTGGGAGTACTGCTTGACACAACAGTCACCTTTGAAAATCAGGTGGCTGCTATGGTTAGGTGTGCATTTGCCCGGCTTTGGCTGGTGTGCCAGCTGTACCTGTTCCTGGCTCAGTAATGGTACCACTTTACTCTGCTTTGGTTAGTCCTCACCTAGACTACTATGTTCAGTTCTGGGCACCACAATTTAAGAAGGATATAGACAAGCTGGAACATGTCCAGAGGAGAGCAACAAAGATGGTGAGGGCTCTGGAGACCAAGTCCTATGAGGAAAGGTTGAAGAAGCTGGGTATTAGTTGCTGTAGATATTCTGGGTTGTGTGGCCGTGGTCTTGGCATTGTAGAACCTGACATTTCGGCAGTAGCTGTGACTGGCATCCTCAGAGGTATAATAGAGAAAGATGGAGTACTCTCTGTGTCAAGGTGCCTTCAACAACATAGAGCTGGGTATGTTTAGCCTGGAGAGGAGACGAATGAGAGGTGATATGATAACCATCTTCAAGTACTTGAGGACCTGTCATCTGGAGGATGGTGCAGAGTTGTTTTCTGTTGCCCCAGAAGGTCAGACTAGAACCAACAGGTTAAATCAGAAGAGTTTTCAGCTAAACATTAGGAAGAATTTCCTGACAGA